CCCCAAAACCCCAAAACCCCAAAACCCCAAAACCCCACAAAACACTATTTTAATTGAATATTATTATTGATGAGTAGCCTAAACTCAAAAAGTTTATTGGATGCCTTCTCTGGAAGCAGCAAGAGCTCGTTCAACATTGAACAAAAGAATACTGATGACCAGATAAGTAAATCTGATACTATAAAAGGAATCTGTATAATGGTTGTCTCCTGAGTTGCCATTGGAATGATGGGATTCAGTGCAAAGTTAATCTACCAACATTTTGAAGGCCTCAAAGCATTTGACTTGCTGCTATTTAGGTCATTTGTGATGATACCAACAGCTTATATCCAGGCCAAAGGGCTTAGAGTCAACTTTTTAGACATTCAGAAGAAGAATATATCTGTACTGTTTATGAGATGTTTCTTCGGAGTTATTGCTCAAACAACTCTGTTCATGAGTTTTAGCTATCTGCCGGCCAGTGTGTCATTTATGATTTTCAATGTGAATCCTGTTTTTGTTATGATCCTTGCTTACTTTCTTCTTGGTGAAAATTTAACAATCACTAAAGGGATTTGATGACTTGGAGCATTTTTAGGAATTTTAACCGTGGGCATTGGAAGAAATAAACATGAATCAGAAGGACAAGATATTCAAACTTTTGGGATAATTTTATGAGTTGCGTCTTCATTGTTCGTCAGTATGGCATACTGAATGATCCGTAAATTAAATAAAGAGGTACATTTTATTTTCTCTCCTTATTATCTCTCATACGCTACACTTATTGTATGAATCTTGGCTTATTTATTCGGAGAAGACCAAGTGAATCCTTCTCTTTACACTACAAAGGTAGTGATAATTTGTTGATTAGCTGCTATCTTCCCAATTACACATCAAATTCTTTTAAGCCTTGCTTACAGATACTGCAATGCTTCAACCTTATCTCCAATACTTTACGCAAGCGTTGTGCTAAACATATTCACAGACACACTCTATTTCCACTACGAATTCTACTGGACCGATCTCATTGGCGGACTTCTCACAATAATTTGTGTTCTGGCCCCTGTTGTCCTAATAATAATTAAAAAAGAAGCTTAAACCCTTTCAATATCTTAAATTTCCCAAGGGGTTTTGGGGTTTTGGGGTTTTGGGGTTTTGGGG